CCCTTCGAGACAGGACGCCAAACACGCCAGTCGGGGAGACGCGTTCCGGGCTCCGTCATAATAGGCAAAACGTTAACGTTACCTGTCGACTCGCCTTAGCGATCGCCTCGGCTACCATGCAGGCGATCTACAGAGACGCCAGCAGCAAAAAATGGCGCGCGCCGAGGCCGTACTCGCGGACGCCGATAGCCGAAAGCGCGTTGTCACGTCCGCGATCGTACACATACCACCGGTGGTGACGGTAACATCGGTCAATCGGACCGCTCGAGTAAGGAAAGTAAACAAAAACGACCGAACAAAGGGACATTTTGGAGGGCCGAAGGAGCCGCGGGGAGACCTCCCTCGACGAGAAATTGATGGTCGGATCTCTCGCTCGAATCGACCGGTCCGTCTCTCTTATCATTTCTCCAGCTCCGTTTCGCACGGGGGAAAAAAAAAACAATAATAACCTGGAGAAATCTCAGCAAGGAAGACAAACGGCGAGCTCTCGATGAGCCACGCGGAGGCCACAGCCATCCTCTTCATTTTAAACGTCAATATATATATTTTTAAGGTTTTACTCTCCATTTTTTTTCTTGTTTTCTAGGACTATTAACGACAGCATCGAAGGAAACTTAAATACGACCAACAAAATTTCGGTTATGACTCGAAGAAATGTCTCGGTTAGACGGGGGGCGTTCATATAGTGCCAAAATACTGAACCGTACTTCGTTTGATCGTACGACGAACTGCAGTTGAAACTACGGGCTGCCGGGTCACGTCACGAGCCCCGTAAGAAACCACGTGATACGGATCGCTCCGACGCGGGCGTTCATCGGTGCGCCGTCCCGTTCCCGACGCACTGATCAGCGTTCACACTTGTGCGTTTGCGTATGATTGAGGCGCGCTTGAAACCAATTGCGACTGATTACGACTAGAGCCAGTAAATGAGTCATCGCTTCGAGCTTCGGCACTCCGTTCCCCGATCTGCTAGTGGGCGCCGCCATCTTGGTGCTTAGAGCAGACGCAATTGTCGATCGTCACAATGAAAAAATACGACTTCCTCAGCTTTAGGCATACCTTGTAAGGAAAGTTCAGGTGATAATTGTTTGCTCCGCCGCGAACCGTTTTAACATTTCTGGAAGACGGAAAAGCGTTTTCCCGGGATTTCAGATAAAGCTTCGGTTAACTGGCAACTTCGATTTTAAGCACCGAGGTGGCTGAATAAATGTCGTTACTCCCAACGTGGCTCTTGTTGCGACCAGAGCAGAGCCGTATATGGGGAGAGTTTGGCCAGTCTATGATCTCGCCGTCGTAACGCTCTCCTTCCGAGTGAGCCAATCAGCACGCGGCGTAGAGCGCGAGGCATGAGCGCATGCGCGTGAACTCCCGGCTGCTCCCACCTGAGTGGGGAGGGCCGCCATCTTCGATCATTCTCCCGGCGGAATGCGTGGGATCGGCATCTAAATCTCGATTATTGCCTTTTATATCGCTGGCTCTGGCGAGAAAATGACATTCTGTTATTCCTCGGTGGGTTAAAAAGCTAATAAATGAAGATTTTTCGGCGTATGGCCACAGACTTTAATTCGGGCGAAAAAGAAGACGGCCCGTAGCAGACGACGCGTAGCCTCAGCAGTGCTCTTCTCCGACCAGTCTCCGACAGCGTTGCTAAAAAATGGCGGTCGTCTCCTCTCTGCTCCCTTCTTTCTCTCTCGCTCCTTCGGCGCTCTCCTCCTTTTCATTTACTTTTCTCCTCTCCGGCGCCTTCGTCGCCACACCCACTGGCCAAACTCTCCCAATATACGGCTCTGGACCAGAGAACACACTGCCGCCATCTATCAGGCAACTAGGGAACCCTTACGATCCGCGTAAAATGGCCGATATATTTTCGCAGCGCTCGGCGAGGGCAAATCCGCGCACCATCTACAGGGTGATTCAAGGAGACGCCAGGCTCTTTAAATCGACCGCAAAATTCGGTTTGTTAACCTATCGCGCTACAACTTTGTGCAGCGCTGCCCAAAGATGGTGCATTTTTTTTCGTGAAATTTGCAAAGAGCGAACTTACCTGAGAAAAAAGTAAAGGAAGAAAAAGGCTTAGCTCCTATGGAAACGCAGCGACGCCACCGGCCTTCAAACAACACGGCACCGTTTCGCACGGGAGACAAGAGATGGCGCAAGCGGTCGCGATGCCAACTGCCGCCAACGAACGAGCATACGACGCCGAGAGCCGGCGTCTTTAGCAGACAAGAAACTGCAGTTCCTTGTTACCGCGCCTTTTTTTTTTTTTTTTTTTTTTTTTTTTTTGTTTCTGCGATTGTCGCCACCTGCGGAACGCGCGCCGCTTTCGAGTCGAAAAGATTGTCTGCTAAGACAATCTTTTCATACGGCGCCGAGAGACATACGGCTCTCGGCGCCGTATGCTCGTTCGTTGGCGGCGTTCGTTGCGCCATCTCCTGTCTCCCGTGCGAAACGGCGCCGTGTTGTTTGAAGACCGGTGGCGTCGCTGCGTTTCCATAGGAGCTAAGCCTTTTTCTTTCTTTACTTTTTCCTCGGGTAAGTTCGCTCTTTGCAAATTTCACAAAAAAAATGCACCATTTGTGGGCAACGCTGCACAAAGTTGTAGCGCGATAGGTTAAGAAACCGAATTTTGCGGTCACTTTTAAACAGCTTGGCGTCTCCTTGAATCATATAGTGAAAAATTGGGGCTTCTCACGATCTCAAAATTATTTGAAGCCCATGCCGTACGAATGACGCGTACAAAAACTAAGAAATATACGTAGATCTGACGTGTTTCAAGGATACTTGATAGATGCGTTGTTCTCTTGTCGAAATCGGTCACAAAAAAAGGCTATAGATGATAACACCAAGCACCCACCACCGTTTACTGATGGACTGAGCGTTCATAAGCAGTGGTTACTCTATTGCGCGAACTAGCCTTAGATAAGGGGTGCTCGAGTGAATTCTGAGATCTTCCATTGATGGTGATAACCCAATCTACGGGTCCTAATGCGTCCCAAAGTACCCCGAAATTACGCTTATGGGCGGTGGATATTTGCCTATTAAAAATCGAATTAAAGATCGTGACGCGCCCCTTTTCTTGCTCCTTGGAGCGGGGGCACCGTCGGACGGCGGTGTCAATCAAACAATAATTGCTGTACTACGTGTCTTACCCTAAAAATATCAATAATTGTAACGTTCGGAATTTCCGCGCAATTAACTATTTTCATTGGTCACATTTGATGGAGGTGGTGGGGACCCAAAGATGGCCCCCACGAGAGTCAATAGTGCCCGAGTTTTTCGATCGCTGCGAGTTTACAAAGACGTCTTGCCATCTAAAACTGGTCATTTTTATTGACGAAAGTCAAACAAACAATATACCACGAAAAGCAAGCTTCTACAAAAGGAGCATTTGAGTGCCATTTAATGCGACCGGCAAGTAGAACACTCTTGAGTTTGACAAAAACAAATTGTTTCAGTAAACAACTGGTTCCTCCCTACTTTACTACTCCTACCCTACCCCCCCCCCTTTTTTTTTTCCTCCAACGCAAATATTAATTTGCAGTAGCAGACGGTCTCAAGAGGTCACAACGTCCAGTAGACGTCACGTGGACGCCTAAAGGACGATCTCTGTCGTCCGAAGGTCTCGTTTTTATTTCATCCATATCCCAACCTTATCTTTTTCTGACCTATCTATCTCATATCGCGCTTCTTTTTTTCCCTCGAACGAGGGCGTGGTATTTACCCCGGGAAGATCTCGTTTGCCGAGTCAGAACGGCTGCGATGAGACGCGGAGGGAAAGAGGGCTTGTTTATCTTGCTTCTCGTCGGCCAGCGGCGTGTGCGTGTGAGCGCTGCACTGCTTATCCCAACTTTCCCACGCGGCCCCAAGAAAAACAACAACAACCACGCCGGCGCCGAACGAGGAATTAACCCGAACGGGTGACACTGTGCGTCTGCTTATTTTTTATTGAAAACCATATATTCAGTGTAATCCACTTATAAGTTATAACGATACCACATATAACAATGTACCGCTTATAACGATTTGTTTCTAAAGTTTCCAGACAAGAAACGATCCGTTTTCCTAGTCCAGATTCAACGATAATCGGTGATAACGATGGAAATTTCAGGTTTTTTCTCATTACCGTTAAGTGGATGGCAGTGTATCCCCGTGTGCCCGTGTCCCGGTGCGTCTCCGAAGAAGTCTTCCTCAACGTTCCAATAATCGCCCTCCGCGCGTTGCCATATCCTCGCATTCCACTGCAGGTTGTGGAATACGTTCTGCTTATGAGCAGTCGCTAGCTTCCGCGGCTAGGTGGCGCAAGCCGCCGCCCGTTACAAAGGGTATAGCCATTAACATCCATCCATTTATCCATCCATCCATCCATCCAGCGGAATATCAAACGCCGCTTACGCGTACACAGCACAGTGACTCGGCAGTGTTTTGTCCCGGACAAAAAAAACTAGAACCCAGGCAAAAAAAAAAGCCGAGTCACAGTTGTAGACGCGTGCGCCGCGTCTGATATAGCGTACACGCAGACTGGCACGATAGTTGAACTTGTTACAAGTAATACCATTACTCGTATTCAGTTACTTTTGGGAGTAATTTTGTAATCGTTTGATTACGTTTGTTAGGAAGGTAATCCCGAGAGTAATTTGACTCTTTTAAAAGTAGTCAAATTCCTTGTAAACTTTTACTATTTTTCGCCTCCCCTATCCATAATGGAGCTGTTTTGTTTCTAGATGTTTCCTATCTAGGAATTCTCGAACCTGTAGTCTCCGGCGGGAAGATGGCTCCCCAACATTAATGGATGTAAGGTTACAGCTATTAACATTCATACATACATACATCCATTCCGCTCAGTAGAGACAAAGATGGCAGATCGCAGAAGGCGATCGTCGGAATGGCCCGTATACATCGTTGCACTATTTGTCTTCTGCACGCTTTTTTTGATTCTTCCCCCGTTCAAAACAAGGGGCTTGGGGGAGGGGAACGCGCTTGCAGATCCGTGCGACACTCACCTGAAGCACCGCGAGCACGATCTTGTCGACGGACGAGAAGTACGTCTCCCAGAGGAGCTGGCTCTGCTGCCGCAGTTGGTGCACCCGACTCCGTGGCAGGGAGCGCAGAGTGTCCGGAACCTGCGTCATCGGGGGGAGAAAACACGCAACGAGCACAGCTATAGGAGTAGACTCACTACGCGTGTCTTCTGAAAGCATCGTGCTCTACCACCACAACAAGCCCAAAACAGTTGCTTTTGATTATATGCTGGAATCATTTTATGGGTATAAACGTTCCCTTGATTTGTTTATGAACTTAAAGAAATTATATCTTGTGCTCAGTCTCATCTCTGCAGTCATTACATTTTTTTAAAGATATAAAATTCAATTAATTTATTTAGACACACAGGGTTCACTCCCCGGGAGAAAAACGCCACTTAAAGTAAAACGCGTATCTGTTCAAACAAATAAAGAACTGTCTACACAAATTCATAAAGTGGTGCCTGGCATTTGACTTGAGCCAAACTTGCTGCAGGTCAATTCTCTCGCGCCGTTTAATTTTCTTTCGCAAATTATACGGAAGACAGACGTTCAATTGACGGGTTTGTCCCTTATCCTATACTGCGAATACGTTGTAAGAAAATGTCCGTATAACAAATAGTTTCGCCAAGGTCAAGATTGTGAATGTTGCTAACGAATACTTTAGCACGGCTGATAGTTGAAAACATTTCTCGCTCGGCCCAGGATACACCATCAAAACATATCTCGAGTACTTAATTTCTTTAAAGAAACCGATGGAAACAATATCGCTTCTTTTTTTTTTTTTTGCAATCCATGCGTCCATTACACGGGGGTTTTCCGGTCGGCGTTCATTAACACTAAACATTGGTGTGCTCGAAAAGGTGAACAGTGTAAACTAAACTTGCGAGTTCATCTGATCTCTGCAGTTGAGCACGTTGTCAGTCAGATCGTCGACCTGCTTTTTCACTGTGCCTTCGAGCATTAGTCTCTTCGTTAGTTTATTCTTATGGGAACTAGTATCAGCAAGCACGTCCAGTACGGCCTTAGACATCCGTAATCCTCCCCCGGCATCATTTCAGCCGTTTCGCTGCCGAACATGACCGAACGAAGAACATTATAATATGAAGGTGTTCGTAACAAAAATCCAGAATGTAGGCTCGTAACTACGTCGTAGTTCTCAAGGTGGCCCATTTCCACTGTCCCATTGGTTCTGCAACACAATGCAACGATTTATATCACAAAACTAAGCGAAAACGCCATAAGCCGCGACCCCGATGAAACCGAAACCGACCCAACTGAAGCCACCTTATGGCGCCGTGTGTGTCAGCGCCCTCTGTCCACCGGCTAGGTAACTACTGGGATGAAAACGTCTTTAGAGTCGGATCTTCTCGCTAGTAACGTATAGTCCTCCTCTATGACGCGTTCGGCGTAAAAAAATAAAGCGGAGTTGCCCTTTTCATGACGACCGCGAACGCTGAGAAGCGTCACGTCCTCGCCTACATAACGTTTTCGCGCCTGCGACGAAGTCCCCCTATGTAACGGTGTCGGCGTATATACGAAAGGCAGCTAGGGAGTGTTAGTGCCCACCTGTAGCAGCAGCCTCTCGTCGCCCCTGAGCGCCGCCCTGCCCCAGTGCACGACCTCGGCCAGCGGCAGCTCCCAGCCGTTGGCGAGCAGCACGGGCACGCAACCGGCCTGCAGGGCCTCCAGGAAGCGGAACGAGCCCAGGCGCCTGCCCCGGGGCACCAGGCAGAACGTGGCGTTCTCCATCAGGGACCCGTACTCGTACCTGCGGAGGAGGGGGAAGAACACCCGAGTTGAAATAAACGGGAACAGCTTGGTTTGGACGCTTCATCGCATACAATGGACGTGCGATTAGCACTTAATATTGTCGCGAATGCCAGACAGAGACAGAAGATGAATAACGAAAGAAACTAAACGTTTAATGTAGCTAATCTTGCACCCGGAAAAAAAAAAAAGAACGTCGACATAACAGAAGCAAGTGTCGCCGTATCGGCGTGACAGCTGGCTTAAGCGAGACTGACTCGGCAAGGCCATGCAGGACATTTTATCTGCTACATTAGGTTATCTGGAATATACGGCCTTCAATGTTTGAGCGTCGAAAATTCGGGGTGAGAGTAAATACGAAACTTCTAAAAAAAGTGGAGTGGAATCAATTGATAAACGTTGTCTCGAACGCCGGGCATCGAACCCCGACGCCTGCGTGAGAGCCATGTGCGTTCTCTCTCAGCCACGCACGCGTAAATATTAACAATATGAATATGACAAAAAAGAAAAAAAAAAGCTTATATAGGAGGTATTTACTGGGTGCCATATTTGAGGGCAATGTTTAGAGCGCATGCTCAGAACGAGTTCATATTAATAGCCTGCTAAGACCGGCAACGCACACGGATATGGCCGCCAGTGAATACTCGCTATACATTCCGCAGCAGCAGTGGAGCAGGGAAGTTCACGCGAAGTACACATCGCTCAGCACTTCGCAAAAAAAAAAAAAAAATGAAAATTGAGAGATGGACTGAGAGCAAAGACAAAACAAATCAGAAAAGAATCTGCACTACAAACAATTTGAACAATACGGTTCAATAATCAAACCGGAGATTCATGGTGTCCATATCAATATCACGAGGATGCAACAAGTTTAGAAGCCTTCGGATTCGGCAGGCCAACATTCCTTTACTGACTTTAATAATAAGGCTATAAAAAAACATATACATAAGAGCAAACCGGCCCGCAAAAGCACATGTACTCGTGGGCGGGATCTCAGATCCGGTAGAAGCAAGAGTACGAAGCTGTCAAAAAGTAACGCCCTTTGAATTCTTAACCTCTTTATAAGACAACTTATAATAATATGCTGCGTACATATTATGCACATAGAAATAAAAAAGAAAAAAAATATTTTTAGACCGGCAAATTGAATTATGAATAAGAAGTTGAAGTATAAAGCCGTAATCGAGTTTCTGACGAACAAGGGCTGTTTGGCTGTTGAGATCCAAATACGCCTCAGAAATACGTATGGTGATGTTCTAATGGGTGCGAGCAATGTCCGGCGTCGGGTTCTGAAGTTCAAAGAGGAAGAAACCAAAATCATTGACAAGCAAACGAGTGGCAGGCCGTCAACCTCACTCAGTGGTGCAGGGAATGCCAGTCTTTTTCCAAACCGGTTTCAAGGTCTGGACAAAACTCTGGACAAAATGCCTCCCAAGGGACGGGGACTATCTGGCAGCTAGGGTAAGCCTGAATAGAGGACACCTTCGCCAAAATAAAGATATGTAAATTGTCTCGATATTCGCATTATTTCAAAAATCTACAGATCAACAAGCACCACGCTTTGACACGTTCGACACTCGTAGTCGTACGGTTGACTACGACTATGACTAGACTACGACTACGTCTACGACTACGACAACTACCGGCTTGAGCGCGAACGCAGCACGCGCCCGCAAGGCCCGGCGCAACCGCTAGGGTACGATCTACGAAAAGTCGGTTGCGACGTCACGTGACGTGGTGCCACCACGCGACTCGACAACTTAAAACTGTGACGTCAGTTTCCCCGCTACATACATCGGAGAAACAGATGTCACGTGACAGTGTGACGTCATGCGGTCAGGCCAACACGAGCAACGAAGGCCCCTGGAAGGTTACCGTATAACACTATTGCAGTGGCGTACCAACTTGTTTTTGAGTGGGGGGGCAAACCCGACCCTCTTCCCCCCCCCCCCCCTTAATCGAAAATTCGGCGCAACTTTTGTCGAAGTTTTCTAAAGATGTGGCAATGATTCGGCAAAATTACAACGTTATCAGACTTAACATTGATATTTTGTTTTTTCTCACGAAAAAAATTTTGCTTCTTCTTCTTAAAATAAATACAACTTGTAGTGCCTATTGAAACAGTTATGATTAAATAAGGTGATATTCTACATGATAATTGTATCGATGTCGCTTTTGTGTGTTTACTGGCAATTTTAGTGTTTGCTTGCAGAAAGTGGCGTGACAACGAGGTTGGGTAGTAGCCGGAGCAGTCACGAATCACACTACGAGAGTTTTGATTTTGAGGCTTCATCAGCGCACGCCTGCAAGTGTGTTTACATTGTTAAAATAAAGACAATCACTGCGTTCTTACTTTCTCTGGGAGTCACCGTTTCGTGCGCGAAAACGGATGCAACGGTTGTTTAGCCTTCACCAGAAGAGATAACACTACTGTAAATATGCATGTTTTTCGATTTGAGTCACTTGACGTCAGCTTTGCATGAAAGTGCGCGTTCCATATTCGCAACGTGCCGTTTTTAACCTTTAAAATTCCGGTTTCTGGTGTTAGGACACACACGGACGTTTAGGAAGATGGCGAGAGTTAGGAATGTCGGATGTGCAACGTCGAGCATGATAGTTCTGTGTTTAACGAATACTTTTCATCAGTGTTTACTAACGAGTGCTTGGACTTCGTCCCCACTCTCCCTGAAGAGCTTTACGAGCGCATGCATCCTATTAACGTTAACTCCGCTGGTATTAAAACATTGATTGATAAACTAAAACTTACTTCGTCCGCTGGAACCGATAACATCAACCCTAAAATTTAAAAGAAACACCCGTGTTATTTCTAGTGAGTATTTGAAACTCATCTTCATTCAGTCCTCATCTCAAAGCTGCCTTCCATCTGACCAAAAGGTGGGAAGGGTAATTCCCAGTCTTTAAACAGGGCAGCCGCTCTTCCGCATCTAATTATCGCCCTAATTCATTGACTTCAATTTCTTGCAAACTACTTGAGCATATCCTCTACTCCAATATCATGAGGCAACTATCATCCCATTTCTTTTCTTTAAACAGCAGCACGGTTTTCAAAAGGTACTTTCCTGCGAAACGCAACTCTGCGACTTCATCCATGACTTGCACACTAACCTTGAATGTCACGTCCAAACTGACGCAGTTTTTTTTTTTTTTTTTCCAAAGCGTTCGGCCGTGTCCTCCATCAACGCCTTCTTTCTAAGCTATCATCTTTTTGCCTCGACCAATAACCGTTTGCATGGATTCGTGACTTTCTTTTTTCCCGTGTACAGGTCACGTCCATGATGATCATGAATCTTCCTTAATAAATGTATCTCCTGGTGTTCCCCTGGGGTTCGTACTTGGGCCCTTACTCTTTTTAATATTTATTAATGACATTCCCATTGGGATTTCTTCAAAAAAACACTTTTTCGCCGACGACTGCGTCATCCATAACAAAGTAACTTGTGTGCAAAATAATAACCAGCTTCAGGAAGATCTAGATAAAATTAACAATTGGTGCAAAGAGTGGATTATGTCACCAAACAAGTATAAACGCAAACTAATCCACTTCACCAAGAAAAAAAAACACTGTCATTTAATTACTTCTTGGACTCCGATCTGATTGAGACCGCTACTGTGTATAAATACCTTGGTGTAAGACTAACATCTGACCTTCCCTGGAATAACCACATTGAAGTCATTACCGCCGATTCATCTGGAACTCTTGGACTAAGCAGACGTAACTTAAAAAATCGCTCCACCCTTTGTCCCTAAGCTAACCTTTAACACGTACGTCAGACCAAAAATAGAATATGCTTCAACCATCTGGAATACCCATCGACTGTACCTCATCAATACGCTGTAGAGGCAGTTCAGAACAGAGCTGCTCGCTTCATTTCATCCACTTATGACTTTTCTTTCAGTGTCTCGGCGCTAAAAACTGAACTAACCATGTCCTCTTTGCAGCTTCGCAGGAAAGTCTCTCAGCTGTGCCTTATTCACAAAATCTACTACCACATTCCCGACCTCAAAACCACTTTGTTATTACCCCTCGACCGAACATCTTCTCGCCTCAACAACGTCTGCACCATCAAACACACTTCTGGCTCTACGAACGCTTTCAATTGGTCATTCCTTTCTCAAGCCATCAGCCACTGGAACAGTCCCCCATCCTCCATTGTCACCATCTTGGACCCTGCTGATTTCTCCTCTGCAGTAAAACTACACCTTTCTTGGCCCATGTGATGGTGTGCGGGGCTAGGCAGATCAGTGAAAACACTTACGCAGAGCGCTTGCCAGGCCAGACTTGTACGTAGTTCAACTACTTTACTCAAGTTACTGTAGTTTAACTACTTTTCTGGGTAGTTTAGTAACTTTTAATTACATTTCTATTCTAGTAATCAGTAGTTTACTTTAACTACTTTTCCGAGTGACTTCCACTCAAATTAGAAATTACTTTCTAATTTTAGTGGTTGTTTTGCCTATCAACAGAGAACAGAGGTCGGAAGGTCAGCTGATATTTGCAGAGGGGGAAGCATGCGGAGTAGAAAAGGAGGGGATGGGAAGGAAGAAAGTGATTTAGATAGTCCAAAAAACCCCAAAATTTTAACGAGCCCCCCCACTGCAACAACACTGCTACGAGGCGCGGGGAGCGAACAGACACGACGCAAGAGAGGTCGAGTAACTGTGGGATTAGCTCCGAATAGTGGCGTTTCTTTGTATTCCGAAGCTCAAGGAGACTTGACGCATTTGAAGAAAGGGCTTGTCCCCGCTTCTCTCCAATGTAGGAATTCTTGCCCACTACAGGAGGTGCACACACTGCTCCTTTTACAGTGCAGGCGATAGAACCCCTAACAACGACGCTCACGCCGGATGGGCTGCTCGTGTATCACTCGAAGCGCGTTAACCCACCCCCGCGCCTGCGTTCACGCCGCTTCGCGGTGACGGTGTGCGGCTGCTAATTACAAATCTATTAACCCACCTAGCCCCCCCACCCCCCGTACACGC